CACTCACTCACTCACTCACTCAAACACGCACACACACACACACACACAAACACTCACTCGCTCACTCGCTCACTCAAACACGCACAGTCACTCACACACACTCACTCACACACTCACTCACTCACTCACTCACCTGCGTGACGCTGTCTCTCATGGTGGGCGAGCGTTGTTTGCGGGTGGTGGTGGTGGCCATGGTGGTGGTGGTCTCCATGATGGTGGTGGACATGTCTGCGAGTGGCGTGGTGGAGGTGGTGTCGGTGCTCATGACGGAGGGCACGTCTCCCACCAGACGCAGGTTCCCCTGCACCTGCACGTTCGGGTCGCCCTCCGCCGCCAGCTTCAGCACCTGCAGGCCATTATAGTACAGCCCCGAGATCTGACCCTGGAAGTTACGGCCCTTCTCACCGCCGCCCACCTTAATGAACGCCTGGCTGTTGAAGATCGTCAGCTGCCGACCTGCGGAGACCGAGAAACACACCCCAGCCATCAGTGTCCAGTCAGTGATGGAGAAACACCGCAAACCTCCGGCCCGATAACACGCCTGATCAGCTCTGAAACCACAGCCGGACACTGAATGATACAGGTCTTTCTGTATCAGTAATATTATACTGTAATATTAATCTTAATATACTGCCCTGTTTCATATTAGTGTGCATTGTATCCTATGACTTGGCTGTTATAATACATTAATGGTAAATAAATAAAAGTGGAAAACAAAGAAAACCAGGAAAAAAAGAATAAAAATTAAAATAAAAACAGAAAAACAAACTAATTACTAAAAAAAAGAAAGAAAAAAAAAATCCATATGAATTCAAATATTAAAATATAAAAAAAACAAACATGTAGAAGAAAAAAAACAAATACATTATTCAAAATCTATTTGTCTATCTATCTATCTATCTATCTATCTATCTATCTATCTATCTATCTATCTATCTATCTATCTATCTATCTATCTATCTATCTATTTTCAGTCTGATTATATCTATGTATCTATCTATCTATCTATCTATCTATATGCGTGTGTGTGTGTCTTATATGTATCTTATTGTATATTTTGATATAATTATGTGGTTTTGTATCATCTAATACTGTATCAAATCACAACTGAAGTTAGTGGTCAACCTCTCTTGTGTTACCGAGAGTGAGGTTTGCTGAGTATCAGCAGTTTCTCTCTCATTCATACGCTATCATCATCATCCTCATCTCCATGGAAACGTCACGCGGGCAGAATGACCTTTGGAGGGTTTCAGAGACGAGAGATGGACAGAATGATGAAGATGGGAAATATTCATAAAGCAGCTGATGATGAAAGAGGGACAGAAAGCAAAGGAAAGCGGTTTGTGAGACTGACGGTGTTTGATTTTGACGGTTTTAATGCTTTAATGTTGCCTCTGATGATGATGATGATGATGATGGATTAGTGAGGAGATGAAGAGCACACACACACACACACACACTGGGTCCGTCACACATCTCCACCTCTGTGAATGTGTTTGACTGTCTGATCCTGAGTAATAAATTCATTAAAGTTCCTCTCTTCTCCTCCTGTGAGCTTTTCACATCCGACCGTTCAGAGCGAGCGACCGGAGAGGTCTCTGTCTGATTGAGCGTCTGACGTCATATAACGGATCTGAGCACCACTAAGAAATCCCCAAAGAATGGAAACATCCAGCAGTGTGAATTCATGATCTGAGCTCCGCAAAAACATCCCCCATCATCTGGAGAAACATCAGCGAGTCGAGTGAAGACGCTCTGATTTCATCAGTGATTCTGAGGACAGAGAGCCTGAGGAGATCAGTGACCCGCAGGACAAACACCAGCAGAGAGAGAAAGAAGAAGAGAAACACATATAAATCATCTGAAATAGAAAGAAAAAAAAAAATAAATGAACTTTTCCACGACATTCTAATTTATTGAGATGCACCTGTAGATAAAGAAAAATAAAAATAAATAAAAACTGAAAAAAACTAAGAAAAACTTATAATACAGAAATAATACACATAAATAAAAATGACAAAAAGAAAGAATAAAAAAAGAAAAATAAATAATAAAAAAGAAAGAAAGAACGAAACAATCAGAAAAAGAAGGAAAAAATAAAATAAAAGAGAGAGAAAGAATCGACTGACTGACAGTGACTCTGAAGATGATCATTCTGTCATCATTTACTCTCCTTCATGTCATTAAACCTGTATGACTTATTATCTTTGGTCAAACATAAAACACTGAGACATTTCTCAAAATATCTTCTTTTACGTTCTTTGTTTGCTTTCTCTTCTTTAAATGATGACAGACTGTTCATTTGTGGGTGAACTGAACCTCTGAACACTGAGAGCAGAGCGAGTGCCGTCTTCTGTGCAGATGAGTTTCTTCTCTTTATAAAGGCAAAATAAACTCACAGATGAAAGACGAGTGAAAAGAGCGGTGCTCCGTAATTACAGAGTGTGTGGACTCACTGCACTGACTAATGCACAAACGGCCTAAAAGCTGCTGAGGTGTAATGATACCTGTATCTCTCTCTCTCTCTGTGTGTGTGTGTGTGTGTGTGTGTTAGAGTGTGTGAGTGTGTGTGTGTGTTAGAGTGCATGTGTGTGTGTTAGAGAGTGTGTGTGTGTGTGTGTGAGTGTGTGTGTGTTAGAGTGTGAGTGTGTGTGTTAGAGAGAGAGTGTGTGTGTGTGTGTGTGTGTGTGTTAGTGTGTGTGTGTGTGCGTAGTGTGAGTGTGTGTGTTAGAGAGAGTGTGTGTGTGTGTGTGTGTGTGTGTGTGTGTGTGTGTGTGTTAGAGTGTATGTGTGTGAGTTAGAGAGCGTGTGTGTGTGTGTGTGTGTGTGTGTGAGGTCGTCTCCTCTGATCCAGAGCACTGGAGTGGGTGTTTTATCTGGTGACCCGTGTCCTTCACCAGCAGGCATGAAGGTAGTGAAACTGAAGTTCTGGTAAGAAAGTTTCCTCTGCTCACATGCTTCTGCTGCGTCTGCTTTTTCTGAGATGTTTCCTCCTCAACAACACACAGATGAAGGGAATATGAGCGGTTGCCGGGGTCACAGGTTGTTGCTATGGTGGCTTTTAAAGCATCATTATACCGTTCTGGGTGGTTGCCAGGTAAAGTCCATCCTCAAGAAGTCTTTATTATGTAACATGTATACAAGATGTCTGTATTAGTGATGCACTGAAATTAATTTACTGAAAACAGAAAATAATATTTGTTTAGTAATCAATGAATTATTCAAATAAATAAACATTTAAATTGCACAGAAGGCAGTTTTTATATCAACTTTTAATGGTATATTCATTTGTTGTTGAGATACAAACATTTAAATGCAAGCTATAAAAAAATCATATGTTTTCATGACATATTCAAACATGCATTAAATACTGAAGAACAGGTTCAGTAAAATATAATGAATATGTAATATAGTGCATATATTGTGGGAAATTATTTATTTAAAATTAATATATTAATTATTTGTCTAGCTGAATATGGCGTTTATAGTGATTGAATGCCTTTTCTGTGGTAAATGTGACATTATTGATCTCAAGCTGTTTTATTGACGTATATCTGCGGTTGAATCAATGATTAGTGGCTTCTATGATTCATGATCGATTTCAGTAAGTTGTAAGTTTATTTGCTGCTGTAACTAGTAGTAAAGAGGAAGAGATGATCAGTGATCTGACGCCACACATTAAATAGCCACAAAATCATGTTTACTCTTTGAATTTATTGATAAAAACTGACAGAATGTGTAAGATGAGACTTTGTTTCATATTCAAAGTAACATATAATGTTTAGTTATGCATCAGCTGAAAACAACAGAATAAAAGATCTCGGCTCATCAGAATGATCTATTATCAAAACCAGAAATACTTTTTCAGCTGCCATAATTTCAGTGCACCACTAGTATATATATACTATATATATATATGTGTGTGTGTGTGTGTGTGTATGTGTGTGTTTGTGTGTGTGCATCTGATCTGTGATGGACTTCACTGGAGCTGTGACACAAACACAAACCAAAACTGACTTTCATTAACACGGAGAAGTTTTCATCCATCACCTCTGTCAGGATGAAGAGAGAGTCCGGTGAGAATCTCACGTGTTTCTGCAGGAGTCTGTGTGGAAACCCACGAGCTTTTCTCCAAGATTCTCTGTTGTCTAATAGCAAAGCCTGTGTTTCTTCTCTCTGGAGTCATTTAAAAGTGAGAAAGTGTTCAAACAGAGCCCAAGCTCAGTGATTTAGTAGCAGCGCCGGGCGCGCTTCTGCTGTAAAACAAATGTGTTCAGCGCTCGCATTTCCCCGCTGAGGTCTTTCTTCAGGAACCGAAATAAACAGCACAAAAGAAATCAATGCGCTGCGGTTATTTGTAATCTCTGACTGCGTCTCTCACAGCGGCGTCGGCTCTACAATAAAAAACGGGAGATGGAGGAGCATCGGATACAGGAGAAGAGGAAATGATGGAAAGTCATAGGGGACGTTTAGAGCGTGATGAACGCCAGCGAGAGGACGAGGGAGAAAAACCGTGGCTCTGAACGGCTTCTGCTGGAATTGAGCTGTTAAACCCTTTTTTCCTCTTCATTGAGCTGTGGAGGTGCTGCCATCCTGAATTTATAACACTGACACCATCGCCGCTCGAGAATGCTCTATCTGATCTAACTCAACGTCAGATGAGAGAGAGAGAGTCGTTCTCACACATTCACTGGCCTTTTCCACATGAATCCTGGAATACTGTGACGGACCCGGTGCAGTCTGGACTGTCCTCATTACCCTCTCCAGTCCACATCAAACTCATTCACAACTCATGCTTCTGCTGCGTCTGCTTTTTCTGAGATGTTTCCTCCTCAACAACACACAGATGAAGGGAATATGAGCGGTTGCCGGGGTCACAGGTTGTTGCTATGGTGGCTTTTAAAGCATCATTATACCGTTCTGGGTGGTTGCCAGGTAAAGTCCATCCTCAAGAAGTCTTTATTATGTAACATGTATACAAGATGTCTGTATTAGTGATGCACTGAAATTAATTTACTGAAAACAGAAAATAATATTTGTTTAGTAATCAATGAATTATTCAAATAAATAAACATTTAAATTGCACAGAAGGCAGTTTTTATATCAACTTTTAATGGTATATTCATTTGTTGTTGAGATACAAACATTTAAATGCAAGCTATAAAAAATCATATGTTTTCATGACATATTCAAACATACATTAAATACTGAAGAACAGGTTCAGTAAAATATAATGAATATGTAATATAGTGCATATATTGTGGGAAATTATTTATTTAAAATTAATATATTAATTATTTGTCTAGCTGAATATGGAGTTTATAGTGATTGAATGCCTTTTCTGTGGTAAATGTGACATTATTGATCTCAAGCTGTTTTATTGACGTATATCTGCGGTTGAATCAATGATTAGTGGCTTCTATGATTCATGATCGATTTCAGTAAGTTGTAAGTTTATTTGCTGCTGTAACTAGTAGTAAAGAGGAAGAGATGATCAGTGATCTGACGCCACACATTAAATAGCCACAAAATCATGTTTACTCTTTGAATTTATTGATAAAAACTGACAGAATGTGTAAGATGAGACTTTGTTTCATATTCAAAGTAACATATAATGTTTAGTTATGCATCAGCTGAAAACAACAGAATAAAAGATCTCGGCTCATCAGAATGATCTATTATCAAAACCAGAAATACTTTTTCAGCTGCCATAATTTCAGTGCACCACTAGTATATATATACTATATATATATATATGTGTGTGTGTGTGTGTGTGTGTATGTGTGTGTTTGTGTGTGTGCATCTGATCTGTGATGGACTTCACTGGAGCTGTGACACAAACACAAACCAAAACTGACTTTCATTAACACGGAGAAGTTTTCATCCATCACCTCTGTCAGGATGAAGAGAGAGTCCGGTGAGAATCTCACGTGTTTCTGCAGGAGTCTGTGTGGAAACCCACGAGCTTTTCTCCAAGATTCTCTGTTGTCTAATAGCAAAGCCTGTGTTTCTTCTCTCTGGAGTCATTTAAAAGTGAGAAAGTGTTCAAACAGAGCCCAAGCTCAGTGATTTAGTAGCAGCGCCGGGCGCGCTTCTGCTGTAAAACAAATGTGTTCAGCGCTCGCATTTCCCCGCTGAGGTCTTTCTTCAGGAACCGAAATAAACAGCACAAAAGAAATCAATGCGCTGCGGTTATTTGTAATCTCTGACTGCGTCTCTCACAGCGGCGTCGGCTCTACAATAAAAAACGGGAGATGGAGGAGCATCGGATACAGGAGAAGAGGAAATGATGGAAAGTCATAGGGGACGTTTAGAGCGTGATGAACGCCAGCGAGAGGACGAGGGAGAAAAACCGTGGCTCTGAACGGCTTCTGCTGGAATTGAGCTGTTAAACCCTTTTTTCCTCTTCATTGAGCTGTGGAGGTGCTGCCATCCTGAATTTATAACACTGACACCATCGCCGCTCGAGAATGCTCTATCTGATCTAACTCAACGTCAGATGAGAGAGAGAGAGTCGTTCTCACACATTCACTGGCCTTTTCCACATGAATCCTGGAATACTGTGACGGACCCGGTGCAGTCTGGACTGTCCTCATTACCCTCTCCAGTCCACATCAAACTCATTCACAACTCATTTTATAATGATCATTGTCATCATAATCATAATCATTCTATAATGATCATAATTCTATAAATAATCTTAATCATTTCTATAATGTTATACAGACATATTCAGGACTTTAATTGTTTTTCGTTTTAAAACAAGACACTACAGGTGAATGGGGGGGGGACTAATAGATATCACCATACTTCCCCCAGTTAAAGAATCACAGTATATTAAAACAACTGCTTTTGTATTACAAGTTTGATCAAATATTATGTTTAAAATAGGTTAAACATGCACTAATTTGCAGAAATGTGCAGAACAGAAATGTAAAGTCAGGTTCATAATTCTTGTTAAATTTTGTTGACATATTAGAGCTAAAGGTTTTTACTGAGGGGATTTTATATTTTTCTTTTTATCACTCCATAAATCAGAAAATACTGTTAACAGACAGAAAAAATAAATTTTCGCCATGTTTTTTAGGAATAAAATGTTATAAAAACTCATGTGAATGATATATCAACAAACCCCACAGTAAAATCCTTCAGAATATAGAGAGGAATACAACTGCTAAGTTTGGTGTCTGTAAGTGCAGCTGAAGTGGAGATAAAACTTTTAAAGGTATGGATTGTAATTGAAATATACAGATGCAAATAGATAAAGTGTAATGAAATAAACAATTAGATGTGTAATTTGGGCCTTTTCTTTCCACTAAATTCACTAAATTAAAGTTGCCTAAAATATCAAAACTAAACTAAAACAAAAAAAAATAGTTTTGCCTGTAGCGTTTTGCCTTAATTTAACATTTTCCTGCATGATTATGGGGACTAGTAAAAATGATTTATTTCTTTAGAATGACGTCACTGATGGTTCATCCTCAATAACAGCAGGAATTAATGTCTGATCTTGAGTTAATGAGTTCATAGTCCAAACTGCACTCGCAGACAAACACATGACGCGTCACACAGTAAATCAGCACATCATTGCTTCATCATTGACTGTCAGACGTGTAAATGTTAAAGGGACCGTATTCTCTCTGCAAATGCTACAGAACAATGAGCAGAGCGTTTGCTCATGAATCACAAATATCGTTCAGTGTTTAACCCTCTGAGTTTCATTCAAGCGTTACGTGCGGGTTAGTTTGCGTTCTGTTTAGACGGTTCGATCTGCTTTGACTAATTCTTCATCAGATCCTCGTTCATTCAGTTATGTGAGTTTAGAAACAGGTTTATGACTGAGGGCTTCAACTTAATCTAATCCAATGAAAACTAACTCCTGCCGGCTGAAGAGGAGAAGAGCGGCGGCCCTCAGGGTTTAGAAGAACGGTTGGTTAAATTCTGCTTAACCTTTACGTTTTCACTGTCGGTTAACACTCAAACTCTTTTAACCCTTTGAGTTGACAGACTGTCCTCTAATCTGATATTCTTACTCGCGTCGGCCACTTCCAGCTCTTTTACAGAAAGGGACAGGTTAACCTTAAGATCTACTGACAGCATCCAGTCAGCAGTTTTATTATATCAATATAAATGTCTGTTTTATATTTCCTCATGAAACTTTATGAACTTTTGCCCACACTGCAGAAAGTGAAGTTCTTCCTGAGTGTTTTTGTCTTGTTTTTCAGCATAAACATCAAAGCATCCTTAAATCAAGATACATTTACTGAGGATCTAAAATGGCCGAAGATAAGAAGTCTTATTTTCTGAGAAATTGATCCAAATTAAAAACAAGCAGCTGGCAATGACGTCAAAAAACACAGGTTGTCCCTTTGAATTAAGTTTATTTTTTAAACTCATTTGGCAGATATTTTTTGGTAACTTTGAACAGTTTCTGAGAAAACAAGACCTCTCATTTAGCATCTCAAGTAAATGTATCTTGATTGGCTGAATCACTGATTAGTGGCTTCTATGATTCATGATCAATTTCAGTAAGTTGCTCTGTTTCTGATGTTTCATCATGTTTATTTGCTGCTGTAACTAGTAGTAAAGAGCAAGAGAGGATCAGTGATCTGTCGCCACACGTTAAAGAGCCCCAAAACATCATTTATTGTTTGAATTTAGTGATAATACAGACAGAATTTGTAAGCTGAGACTTTGTTTCTTGTTAAAAGTAACAAAACATAAAGATTATTGGTGCTCTACAAATAATGTTTAGTGAAGGTCTGCTCATGCATCAACTGAAAACAGCAGACTAAAATATCTCAGCTCATGAAAATGATCTATTATTTTGGCCAAAACTAGAAATGTTCCTTGATTTAAAAATGGCTAGAGGTTTGTGCTGTAAAGCAAGACAAAAATACAGAGGAAGAACATCACTTTCAGCAGTAAATAAGACACATGGCATCAGTTTCAGCAGTAGGCTGGAACTTTTAAATAGTTCAAATTGCCCACATGTTGTATTTTTTCATGCTGCATCAAAATCCAACAAAATACCTGTGTGTGCAACAGAAAGATGTGCTAATCAAAGCTAAACGAACTACTGTACTGGAGCTTTTGCCGGATGTGAATTACCAGGAAACTCATTTAAGACAGTTAGTTAAGACCTTCTGGACTCAAAGGGTTAAAGTTGGAATCAATTTAGAATGACGAGAGCGAAGATGAAACAGAGGCACTGAAATAGAGTCCCTTTAACTGTGCAGTTTCGATTGTTCGAACTGTTGTGAATCAGTTTCTGCTCGATAGGACGTTTCACAACAGTAAACAGCTGTGCGTGTTGTTGGGAGGTTAAGGGAGGGTTATGTGGGGGTTATTGGTAAGGTTAATACTCTGGAGAAGTGCAGTCCCATCGTCAGGTGACAGGTCTGAAGAGCGCAGCGTTCTGATTAGTCTGAGTATTTCACAAATGTAATGCACACTTCTTTAGGTGCAAACTACAAATGAAGAGTAGTAAGACACTAGAAAGTTTGCTTTCTCATCATTCTAAATCTCGCTTCTGCTTTTCGCATGCTCGCCGTGGGCCTGCACTTCATCCAGAGATGTGTTTAGCGTGATTAGACAGACCGTTCGTTAGTGGGGTTTGGTGCTGTTTAATTACCTTTGTCGAGTAGCCACTCGTCAACTACCCGACCGAGTCGGTACGGGATTCTTTGCCTAGCAATAGCCAGCCGTTCACTATCAAAGCTCCCTTTGAAGAACAAACAAATTCAACAGGTTACAATCTGGAAGGTCAAAGGTTAAAGATTAGAGGTTAGAGAGAACGCCTTTAAAATCAGATTTAACACCCTCAAGGCTTTAAACATGGTTTGGAGGTTAGAAAGTCAAGCAAGCTCTGGTTACCATGTGTTTTAAACATGAGTTAAGCATATTTATGAGTCATTTTAGAGGTTGAATGTTACTTCTGGATAATTACAGTGCATTAAAGAGTCTTGGTGAACGTGGAAAAGCAACCATCATCGTTCTCATTAAAAATGCATAAGAACATTTCCATACCAGCGTACTGGATCGACAAACAGTCCTGCTGAACATCAAACAGCGAGACTCCAGGAAGACGTTTTCTGTGTGAGGTCAAATGATCAAACGTTCTTGAGCGCTGTGATTCACAGCATCACATCGAACCCGTTTCACTTGTAGATACATGAGGACCTAAACATGCACTGAGAGAGAAAACCACAGCGATACGTCTGCCTGCGTCGCGGCGGAGATCACCCACCCCTCGTTCTCTCTCTGAGTGAGAGTTGGCGTCATGGTGAAATCAAACTTGTCAGTTCTTTCATTAGCTGCAGCCATCTTTCCTCTCTCTCTTTAATGAAGTCACTCGTAGCAGAGCGACTGCCTCTTAATTGCTCCTGCAGCTCGACTGCAAATGATCTAATCAAAATCCCCACATGCATCCCCACCCAGCCTTCGCTTACAGCACCTCGGCGTTATTAGACAGATCAAATAAGCCTGGATCGAATGTAAATACATTGAGCATTGAGGAATGGATCGTCAGCTGGTTCTGCTTCAACATCCCGATTCTACACTGAGCATCAGCGCTGGACCACACGGGCTCGTCTCGCTCCTCAAACACAGAAACACATTATGATCACGCATGTGTGTGTTTATGGGCTCTGACGGCGGCTATCAGATGGTTTCTTTCAGGGGTGTAAAATACGTTTTACTTGATTACTGTACATACATATTATTTTGGCCAATTTGTACTTCACTCAATTGCAATTTAAACTGTATACTTGTAGTTTTACTTAGAACAAGACCAAACTTAGCAGTTTTATTCATCTCTATATTCTGAAGGGTTTTACTGAGGGGTTTGTTCATATATCATTCACACGGGTTTATATCTAGCATTTTATTTCTAAAAATGTGATTTTTTTTCTGTCTGTTGAGAGTCTTTTTCTGAGTTTTCTGATTTATAGAGTGATAAATAGAGAAATACTTTTTTAAAGAAAAACTAACTCCAGTATGTCAAAAAAATCAATCAAGAATTATGAGCCTGACTTTATCCAGTGTTTAGAGTACTGTTCTGAAATGAATGCTTATTGGTGCATTTTTAACCACAACATTTCAGAAAACGTAAAACAGTAATACAGAATGAACTGTGATTAATAAAATGGGGAAGTATTGTGAAAGCTATTTGTTGGTAAAACACTTGTTACTCTTTGTAGATTACTTCTGCTGTTGTAACACTTGATTACAATTTCAAGTTGTACTTCTTTACTTTCACTCAAGCCTGTTTTTGGCAATATACAGTACTTGTACATGGAAGTGAGAATTGAGAATTTCTCTCCCTACTTTCACTTCAGTCATTTATTTTCACTGGTCTAATTTTTACACCCCTGGTTTCTGTTATATTTGAGATCGGCGTGAGACTGAGCGAGTGTTTGTGAGGGAGAAACAGCCTCACAGCGTTTATATGAAACACATCAGAGGCGTTTTATTCTCCCGTTTCACAAGAGTCTTATCTTGGAAAGTGAAATCCTCATTTTGTGCGGAGGAAACGCTTTGCTCTTTATCAGCGGTGTCATTTCAAACGCAGCAGCTCGTCTTTGTGTAACTGGAAATACAGGTCTGATTGTGACGGTGATGTGATGAAGGCAGAGATCTCACGCTGAGCTCCTCATGAGATTCTCTCACACTGACACACAGCAAACACAGTCCTCACACTGACCACATCCAACATACAACATCCACAACTGCATACTAAACCATCATCATCAGCCACTCTGCTTTTACACACACACACACACACACACACACACACACACACACACACACACACACACACACACACACACACACACACACACACACACACACACACACACACACACACACACACACACACACACACACTAGGGGGCAGTCATGTTTTATTCTCAGTTATAGCGTGTACTGAAGCCAGTGTTATGCAACTGATGTGTTATGTACGGTGGCCGAGAAGTGCAAAGCAAATCACTATTCTGAAAAAAAATATTAATGATTGAGCTATGGCCGTTTGAACATTACTGTTGTGCTTATATTGTATAATTGCATAATTTTATTATTAAGTTCATAGGATTATTTTTAATTTTAGAGACATAATTCATAAATTTACCAAAGATATTTAGATTTTGTAAAATAACAAAAACAAACTGAATGTCTCTGTTTCCTTTCCTAGATATTTGGAGCATGCCACAATGAACAGAAACTCTAAATTTCTTTCGTTTTTTAATTTGTAATAATTAAGTGAAATTTATTTTGCGCATAGGCCTAAATATTCCTTTTTATGTATAGGTGGTTTTATAATGTTTTCTCTGTTCACAGAAGTGTGATGTGCATTGTGTGAAAATACAATGAACTGAGTATGTTAACTCTGAAATGAGGGAAACTCTGGGCTTTCCATTTCAGAATGGGAGGTTAAAGAAAAGCAGTCAAGCCAATTTCTGAAAGAGAGGTAATGTATACTCAGGGTCAGTTACCATGGTAACTTACTCTTCTGTGAACCGAACCTGGGGTGCATTTCCCAAAAACAACTATGGTCACAAGTTCTGCTGTTACCAAAAGAGTTCAGTGAAACTAACGACCATAGCTAGCAAACAATGCTTTTGGGAAACGCATCCCTGGTTGGAAGCAGCTTTTCTTCACTAAACTCAAAGTTTCTTTCGGTCTCCTCCCCTTGTTAAAAGCGTAAGCGATGCTTAAATACCTAATTCATTTATTCACACTGCAAAAATGCTTTTCTTAGTGACTATTTTGGGATCTAAATTAAGTGCATTTTAATTAAATCTAGAAAAATGTTTTTAATGCAAATGGAAACAAGATTTTTTTTCTTACGCCATTGGCAGATCATTTACAAAATAAGAAACAATACACTTAAAAGACTAAATACCTTATGTCATTTTTCTTATGTAGAAAATGCATCTTGATATAAGAATCTTTAGATATTTTTACTGGAAACAACAAGACAACAATACTAAGTAAAGCATTTTTTGCAGTGCAGGTGCATTCATTCATTGCACATATTCTCATCATGCACACACTGTGAAAGTGACAAAAATGGCATGTCCTTTTATACAGAATCCTGTAGATGAGGAGGCTACATTAATTCGTAGGGAGTCACATAAACATCTTACCGGCAGCATCACACCTCACCTATGACAGCTTCATGTGCAGCTCACTGCATCTCATTCACAATCAAACAATAATTCATGAAGTACTTCAAAGGTCTCCTCGAGTATCGACTCGCTCTGAGAGACCTGAGAGAAACAGATGATCGGGCTACAGTAACTGTGGCGTGATGTGAAGAAAGCAGTTACAAACCAATCAATCTCACCCTCAAAAACAGCTTTCTACTGCAATACTGATCAAAGAAAATATAAACCAGGATAAAAATAAATACTAAATAAAATAAAAATAAAACACAAATATAAAATAAACACTAAGATAGTTTGCTTCTTGTCAATTTTCTTTATTGTCCTGTGCCAATAAATGCAAAAAACAAATAAATAAATAAAATATATTTGTAAAAATTACAAATACAAAATAAATAAGTTACAAAGTAATAATTATGCTTTAAAGTACGTATTAAAATAATAATTATAATAATATAAATAATTAAAATAATAAATTAAATATGTAAAAATAATCCACACAAAACATAAATGGCCCCACTGTGAGTAGGTCTTGTAATCGCACTAATGCTGCGTTCATGTCACGACAGAATTACCGTAATTAAGTTAGTTGCGGTTCAAATGGGAGCTGTTCTCATCCTCAGACGAGGAGCGTTGCATTCTATGGCACAGCGGATTCCTGTGGAGTGTTTAGCAGATATTCTCACACTGTGTGATTAAGACATTAACAAGAGTAAACCACAGCAAACCTCAGTGACCTTCAGCACTTATCAATCTGCTGCCATTAAATACAGCCTGTTACTATGACAACAACTGGGATCAGTGAGGATGCACTGGACCTGCAGGAAGCGCCGCCCCCTCATCCTACCCACAATTGCACTGCAGACTCCCTCTGCGCTAACTGGGTCACTGGATATTTATATTTCTCCAGTCCACACTGCTGCTGCTGCTCACGTCATTAACACACACTCACTCACTCACGCACGCACGCACACACACACACACACACACACACACACACACACAAACAAACAAAAACAAATAAATAAATACCCAGTAAAAAAAAATCACACTGAATCAAAGCTTTCGGACAGGTCAATCTGATTTAACCAGGAATAAGTGTCTATAAACAAAACAGGTTTGGTGTGACGTCTTGAATCATTAACACAGATTAAGATGGTTATTTAGCACAGAAAACGTCTTCCTCAGAGAGAGACAGAGAGACACGTGTCTGTCTGTCATGACCATGATCACACGTGTGTGAGTGAGTTATGTGAGTATGTGTGTGTGTCTCACCTGAAGGGAAGCGCTCTAGCACGGGCAGATTGTCCACCTGTAGTGTGGCGTTCCCGCCGCTCCGTGTGAATCTGACCACATGATACTTCCCGTCGCTGACCATCACGCCGCTCTCCTCGATGACGATGTCGTCCGTCCCCACGTTAAAGATCACGCCGACCCTCCCGCGCTCCTGACACACACACACACACAGAGAACTCATCACTGACTCTCACTGCAGAGACACTGCAAAGGTCAAACTCATTTCTATCAGACGCACTGAAGTTCAGCCAGGCTAAGATGGAAAAATGAAAATGGAAAGAGAGTCACTGTTAAGAATATCTTGTGGAAGTAAATTCCACTGATGAGGAGCAGCATAGCTGAAGGCCAGAGTACCCATGGAAACCAGACGTGTACGAGGAAGAACTAAAGATAATGTAGACAATGATCTAAGAGTTCAAGAGGGAGTGTACGTTAGGAGTAAGTCAGATAAGTAAGAAGGAGCCAAGTTATGTAATGCCTTATAAACAATAAGCACAATTTTTAATTCAAAACGCTGTTTAAAAGGAAGCCAGTGCAGTTGTTGAAGAACAGGACATATGTGTTCCATAGTAGGAGTTTGTGTAATTATTCGTGCGACTGAGTTCTGCACTAACTGTAACTTGTGTAAAAGTTTAGCAGGAAGACCGTAAAAAATTAGCATTACAATAGTTAATTTGTGAAGTGACAAGAGCATGGACCATAATAGCAGTGCTCCTTGTTATGAGGGCTGGGTGGAGGCAATTAATATTGCGTATATGATAATAAGACATCCAAGTAACCTTGATGATATGTACTTCAAAAGACAGAGTATTGTCCAGGATAACACCCAAGCTCTTTACTTGTGTTGAGGAAGTGAATATAGGACCATTGATACACATAGAAAAATCACTGGTATTCGACAAATTATTTTTTTGTACCAACAAGAAGAATTTATGTTTTACTACTGATAAGTTTAAGAAAATCGCTTGAAAACCAAGCTTTAACTTCAGACAAACAGAAAGAGAAGATGGAGGAAGTTTAGAGGTAGGTTTTGAAGACAGCTGGGTGTCATCCGTGTAACAATGAAAATGTATACCGCATTCCCTGAAAATGTTTCCAAGGGGCAGTAGATATATGATAAATAATAGCACTGAAGTTCAGCCAGGCTAAGATGGAAAAATGAAAATGGAAAGAGAGTCACTGTTAAGAATATCTTGTGGAAGTAAATTCCACTGATGAGGAGCAGCATAGCTGAAGGCCAGAGTACCCATGGAAACCAGACGTGTACGAGGAAGAACTAAAGATAATGTAGACAATGATCTAAGAGTTCAAGAGGGAGTGTACGTTAGGAGTAAGTCAGATAAGTAAGAAGGAGCCAAGTTATGTAATGCCTTATAAACAATAAGCACAATTTTTAATTCAAAACGCTGTTTAACAGGAAGCCAGTGCAGTTGTTGAAGAACAGGACATATGTGTTCCATAGTAGGAGTTTGTGTAATTATTCGTGCGACTGAGTTCTGCACTAACTGTAACTTGTGTAAAAGTTTAGCAGGAAGACCGTAAAAAATGAGCATTACAATAGTCAATTTGTGAAGTGACAAGAGCATGGACCATAATAGCAGTGCTCCTTGTTATGAGGGCTGGGTGGAGGCAATTAATATTGCGTATATGATAATAAGACATCCAAGTAACCTTGATGATATGTACTTCAAAAGACAGAGTATTGTCCAGGATAACACCCAAGCTCTTTACTTGTGTTGAGGAAGTGAATATAGGACCATTGATACACATAGAAAAATCACTGGTATTCGACAAATTATTTTTTTGTACCAACAAGAAGAATTTATGTTTTACTACTGATAAGTTTAAGAAAATCGCTTGAAAACCAAGCTTTAACTTCAGACAAACAGAAAGAGAAGAAGGAGGAAGTTTAGAGGTGGTTTTGAAGACAGCTGGGTGTCATCCGTGTAACAATGAAAATGTATACCGCATTCCCTGAAAATGTTTCCAAGGGGCAGTAGATATATGATAAATAATAAAGGGCCCAGAACTGAACCCTGTGGGACACCTGTAGTAATATGTGATGACTTAGATTTAAACTGACCTAGTTGAACAAATTGAGTACGACCCGAAAGATAGGATGTGAACCAAGCCAGAGAAGTACCTACAATTCCAATAGACTGGAATCTAGCTAATATAATTTTATGGGAAATGTTGTCGAACGCTGAAGTTAGATCAAAAAGAATTAAGATAGATAAAAGTCCTGAGTCAACCACTACCAATAAATCATTAGAAATCTTGACAAGGGCAGTCTCAGTACTATGACAGGTCAATCGCGACGGACCCCCCTGCCTCTGCTCCTGCTTCTCCTGTCTCTTTGGCTCAAGCGGAATATCTCCACTCTCGGATTATTATCCGGCCGCGCCGTGAGGGCGCAAATACTGCCAACCTCTGTCCTCTGAGCAAAGCATCTGCTTTGCGCACCATTCTACGCTTCCCAAAAATTGCCCTGATAAACGCTCGCTCTCTGGTGAACAAGACATACATCCTGAACGATTTTACCACTGCTCACGACCTGGAATTTCTGTTTATCACCGAGACCTGGGTGAAGGTAGGGGACCTCAGTCCATATTCTGAACTTTCCAGCCAACTATCACTTTTACAATGCTCCGCGATCATCAGGCAGAGGCGGCGGGCTAGCTATCATTGCTAAAGATTCTTTCAGACCTCGATGCCGACTGTTATCTTCCGCCACCTTCACGAGTTTTGAAGCTGAGATTTTACTTCTGAACTGGTCTGACCCTGTGGTCTTAGCTCTGATCTATCGGCCACCACATCTAATCAAAGACTTCATAGTAGAGTTTTCAGAGTTTGTAGGGTATTTGATCACTAAATGTATGTTGCCCCTCTAAGCAGCTAACTCCTGATTTTTTAAACATCAATGACTCTTTTAACCTGCTGCAGTGGGTTAATCATCCTACACATACTCATGGACACATTTTGGACCTAATTTTGTCACATGGTCTATCTGTAACTGACGTTGAAGTCTTTGATTCTGTCATCTCTGATCATTTTCCTGTTTTATTTAAATTGTCCCTCCCACTGCCTTCTCTTAAACCTGCCTCTGATGGTACACAAGCCCGTGAATATTTGTCTCATTTTTGTGAGGATTTTGTCAAGTTCTATAATGAGGTCAACCCTCTTTTATCATTAGAGTCTTTATTATCTGATCTTGATGCTGAAAATCATTTTATTTTTTTAAATACTGCATGGACAGATATTTTAAACCTTACAGCTCCTTTTAAGCTCTTTAAGCCAAAATCTACGTCTAAATTGGAGCCATGGGTTGATCATAGTATTCGTTCCTTGAGTCAGGCATGCAGAAAAGCAGAAAGGAAGTGGAAAAAGGACAAATTCCAGATTTCTTATGAGATCTTAAAGAATTGCCTATCGTCATACCAGTATGCTGTTAAGAAAGCCAAGGCTTCTTATTTTTCTAAACTAATTGGAAAAACATCACCACACCCCAAAAGCTCTTTTTCCTGTTATCAACTCCATTCTAACCCCCCCTGTAAATTCTCTTCACTACCCGTCTTTGGCACTTTGTAAGGATTTCTCTAGTTAATTTGGCAATAAAGCTTCAAGTTTGAGGGCCCAGTTTCTGGTCTCAAATCAGGAGATGACTTCACCTGTCCTGTGGACTTCTTTCAATCCTGTCTCTCTACATTCTGTAAAGGAAGTAATGCTTAAACTTAAACCCTCCTTTAGTTCGCTTGACACTATACATCCTTACTATTTGAGACAAATATTTGACACTGTCGGCCCTGGGCTGGTGTCGCTATTTAACAAATCTTTGCTTGAAGCAGCTGTACCTTCTAGTTTTAAAACTTGATGCCTCTATTTCATCACATTTTTGTCCGATCTTCATTTTGCCATTTATTTCCAAGATATTGGAAAAAATTGTTTTTACAGCTCCAGACCTTCCTGACTGACAATCATATTCTTGAGAAGTTTCACTGCACTGCACAGAAACCGCTCTTGTAAAAGTTCTTAATGATATTTATATGGCAACAGATTCGGGGTCATTTTAGTAATGTTAGACCTGCCCTCTGCTTTTGATACCGTCGATCATGCAATCCTTATCTATCGGCTGGAGTATTGCGTTGGGCTAGGGGGGACTGTTTTAAGTTGGTTTAAATATTTTTTTAACCAATAGACATTTCTCTGTAAAAATAGGACGTTTTCTCTTTGCAATCTATCCTGTGGTGTGCCTCAAGGCTCTGTTTTAGCTCCTGTCCTTTTTTCTCTCAATCTTCTCCCTTTGGGTTCCATTTTTAGGAAACATAATGTCTAATTTCATTGCTATGCCAATGATATGCAAATCTATATGCCTGTGTCTAGGAAAAATAAGAGTGCTCTAGGCAACCTAACAGCATGTCTTGAGGATGTGAAAGCTTGACTTGCCAAGAATTTTCTGAACTCAGACAAAACAGAAGTCATTGTTTTTGACCCCTCAGAATTCAGGCCAAGAAATCACCTTGACCTTGAATCTTTAAATCAACTCCTCTTTCCCCAAGTACGTAATCTAGGTGGGATGGTAGATAGTTGCCTCTAATTTGACAAGCAGATTAGCACGGTCATTGGGTCCAGCTTTTTCTTTCTTCGTTCTCTATCGAAAATCAAATCCTTTCTTCCTAAGCGCTCTTTGAAGATCGCTATCAACACTCTTTTTACCTCTCGCCTGGATTATTGCAATTCCCTCTATTTTGGTATATCTAAGTCCCAAACGGCACATTTACAGGTCATTCAAAATGCTGCGGCGAGATTCCTGAAAGGAAAGAGGAAATCTGATCACGCTACCCCCCTTCTGAGATCCCTTCACTGGCTTCCGATTAATTTTAGAATTGAGTTTAAAATTGTATTACTGTATATAAATCATTAAATGATTTAGCACCTTCTTATTTGTCCAATCTACTTCACCCCTACTTTCCCACCAGAGGTCTTAGGTCCAAAGATAAACTCCTCCTTCAGATACCCAAAATCCAGCTAAAATCGAGGGGTAACCGAGCCTTTGAAGTGGCTGGCCCGACACTGTGGAACAAGCTCCTACTCTATATTAGATCGGCTTCCACTTTGTCTGAGTTCAAGTCATGTCTCAAAACTTATTTATTT